TAACATTAAAAACATAAATTCAAAATAAAATGCCCTAAAATTCTGCAGTTAGAAAAAACGTTAAAATTAAGCTAATGAATAGAACTCGTTCTGAATTTTTTTTATATAACTTCACATCCCTACTCTGCTAGGTCTTAAAAATTAAGTGTTGAAAAATTGGCTTATGCATTAACTTTTGAGGCTTAATTAATAAAAAATATTAAGCTGTAACTTCTTTATAATTTATGCTATACTTTAACAATAAAATCAATAAAGTAACGCAGGATTAGATTTTCAGAACCCATTAACCCTTTAAATCCAACTAACCCAACACACTATATTTTAAAACATATATCAATTGGTAATAGTACTAGAGGACGGGTAGAGCTTTAATAACATGACAATTAACCCGCATTTGTTTACATGAAAAGGAAAACAACGAAAACCTCGCATGGTTAGCCCGATGTCAAAAGGATTTTATTTTACTTTATAACCGTCGTTGAACAGCAGACACAATTTTGAGTTTAAGATTATCGATGTTCAACTCTGTAGCCTTGTAATTTTGACCGCAATCCGGTAGACAAAAAAACTCCAGGATCAAATATTGAGAGAGAAATTTTGACTTTGTGGAGGATTTTTCAATGGAACTACCGCATTTGCCTCATGGAGGGGAAAACTCTGAAAACCTACCACAGTTAACACGACGCGAGGGGAATTCTAACCCATGATCCGTCTACCACTGAGGACACTTTGCATCAGTACTGAGGTCGGTGCGATCCGGGTGTAGAATTCGTATCGATTGTCATCGCTTGAACTTGAACCCATTCACCTCTTTATCTTAGGTTTTATAATAAACCTTTTTCAGAGTCAAACGCAGAATAATTCTATGTATTGACAATGAAGCAATGTACTTCTTTATAAAACCGAAAATCTATGCCTATTTTGTGGCTTTTCCATTCAAGTTATGAATCTTAAATTTGACATGATGTTAAAAGTAAATGTAAAACCAAATTAACTAATATTTTCTGATAATTTGCGGAAAGATAACTTTTTGCTTTATATAATTTGAAATTCTTAAGTTTTTCAATCATATATCAATTTATCTTAAGTCATCTAATCTAAAATTCGATTTCTCAGATACTATTCCACCGATTTCAAATTTTGAATTTTGTATTTTTCACATGGATTTATCTTTGGATAAAAGTATCTCATAATTATGTGCAAAAATTTTTCTATTCACTTAAATAGTTCTCGAAATAGTGCGAAATACGCAAAAAGTAAAATTAACGTTAAGGGGTTCAAACATTGGTTCGGGGGGGGGACCATATTTCCAAGAATACGGCTACCCCCATATCTTGGAGGGTCGAAACCCGAATCCGTTGTAAGAAATTGTATGTTTATTCAAAGAAAGTCTCTGATTTCGTAATTTAAAATATCGTCTGCATATTTAATTAGCATAATTGATGTCACCCCCCCCCCTCGAACCATTAAGGTAAAATCATTAGATCAAAAGTTACTCAAGGTGGTTCGTTTTCTTTTTTTATTATTATTATAACTATGTGCAGTAAATAGGTCCATTATTACAGTTGTGTACATTATTTTTATAAAGTATTCAGTGAAAAAGCTACAGTTCAGTTTCTTTTTATGCTACCTCTGAGCCTACATCAAACCAGTGCATTTCACTGTTAGATGCTTCTTGACATTGTTTAAACTAAACTTCTTTTTCTTTTAGGAAATACTTTTCAAATCAAAACACTAAAATAATTCTTTAAAAATATTTTAAGATAGAGAAATGGGTTTGAATTAAAATTATGATCAATTTATAAAATGCTTCCAACAGTTCTAATAACCAAAAGGTACAAATATCTATAATGCTTTTTAATTCTTAAAATTTTTCCAATAGATTCAATAGGTATATGTTTTATTATACAATAACTGAAGAAGAAGATATACATTTTTAATAATATTTTTAAACGTAACAAAAACAAAAAATAAAAAAACATTGCTCCTAAATAAATGATATTATGCACTATGACCAAGTTGAGTGAACTTAGATCTAATGATTGGATTCTCACGTACTGGGACTCAAACTTTATGATTCGAGGACCTGATCTTAAATATTTTAAGTAGTTAGTACGAAATCAGACACAAAAACACAATCTTTCTGAATAAACATGCCTTTTTTCGATGATTTTAAACGTTTTGCCCTCAGAATAGGGAAGGGGGTAGCTACAATCAAGAAAATATGGTCCCAATAGTTTGGCCAGGTTAGCTCTTGAAAGTTCAGAGACCTTAATGTTAATTTTACTTTAACATTTTGAACATTTTTGAGCATTTTAAACGAATAAAATAAAATTGCCCACAATTAAAATTCGTTTATTCTAACATAATTCAGTGCAAAAAGTAATTTTCAGTAATTATTTTTATTTGTTACTATTTTATTCAATAATAGTCAAGAACATAATTTTTAAGTTATTTTTAAGAATGCAATTTTGCATTTCAAAATACATAATTTGAATGAAATCGGACAAATATTTCCTGAGAAATCAAATTGTAAATAAAGTCGTAGATTTAAAATTCGATTTTTCGGAGCTATTCGACTGTTTTTATTCAATTTTTTTATTCAGACACTTAAAATAACATTCCTTAAAATTATATAAATAATCTTGTACCTCACACTGTTAACATTTTCATTCTGAAATTATGGTACAATAGCTGGCAGCTGCCTGTCCATCCTATTAACCGTACAGTTTACGATAAAGAACATTTTTTTCCTTTATGGTGTTGAAACCATTTACAGAAAGTATGGTTATAAAACCATGAATAAAAAACTATATGGTTTTTTAACCGTTTACAGCCATCATTTTCAAAAATATAAAAAAAGTTAATTATTTAACTAGACATAGGAGCTCGGCTTTTCGTAAGGTATTGAGCACTGGAGAGTGTCAGATACCGTGTTGAAGGGAATGGAGAAATTATTGTAGTGGACTCGAACTCCAGTTCTGCCGGTCATGAGATTGACGGCTAGTCCCGCTCGGCTGTAATATGAACGCAGTTGCAAAGAACTAAGCAGCTTCATTAGGTGGTTCTAGTTGGCACGATAAAATTCTGGCTGTTTAACCGTATTAGGTGAAAGCAGTTAGTAAACAGTTTTTCTCAAACTTAACAGTTTGATTACTATTTCATTTACAATTATTTCACTGTTTTGATTAAATATGGTAAAATAACCATTCAATAAATTGTTATTTAGAAATTTTTCCGAGAAAATTTTAACGGTGTAAAATTCAAATTTATTTCGACTGTTATTAAACTACTATAAAATAATAAAAATCCTTATTAAAAATTAGTTTTTGCATGAAATTATCTTTGAGTAAACGATTCTTATAATTGCGGGCAAAATTGTCTGATTTCTTTAAAAAATTCTCGAGACAGGGTGAAATGCACAAAAATTGAAACTAACATATGGCGTCAAGAGAAAACAACTCAGAAAAAAACAGCAAAATATAAGTGTATTTTTGTGTCTGATTTTGTAGCTTAAAATATTGTCTGCTCTAAATAATCAGCATATTTTTTAGGCTCTTAAACCATAAAGATTGTATGTCAGTAAGCCAAAACTACTACAATCTAACAAAAGATCTTAAGGTAGTTTACTTTTTAGCGAACTGTACAAGTGTTGATTCATTTTGATTGTATATGAAGAAATTTAACTTATGTACCGAACAAGTTAAGCTAAAGTTCTTTAATGAAGGGATAGTGTGCAACCATATATAAATTCAAATAAATTATAACTCTTTTTTTTAAAAAAATCAGAGTAAGAAAAAGATAAAAAATTATTTTAAAATATTTCAAAAATTCTTCTATATTTATATTTTCTTGAAGAAATATTTAAATTTGCTTTCAAATTTTGCACAGGTCGCAAATTATTTCCACAATATAAATTGTTTCACAAGCAAGGGCATCACGGGGGTCCAATTTTTTAGGAGGGTGAAAATAAAATAAAGACGCAAAATTTCTCTAACATACTGAAAAGAATTCTTAAAATAGCTTGATATCTGAGAAAAATTTATTTTCATCTCTTTCTTATTTTTACATTTGAGGAACTTAAAAAAAAAAATTTTTTTGTGACTGAAACATTGAGGGAGGGCATATACCCACCATCCGACCCCAACCCCCCACTAAAGACTCCCACATAAACAGGAACTGTCTTAATCTGGTTCATTTTATAAAATAATAAAACATTTAAACGGAAAAGTATAATACATGACTGAGTTTTTTAATTAATCGAATCTATGATTGTAATAATATGAAAATCCATTTCTATTATTAATAATTGAGTGTATAACTTCGAATTGTCTTTTTGAATGAAATGAAAATTATCAAAATTTCTTTTATTTGTTTATAATAATCAAAATTATCAACGTTTTTTCAAAGGCATTTTCTCAACACAATAGATTTTTCTACAGTAATTTTACAAGATGACAAGATTTTAAAAGTAATATTAACAGAAAAAAATATGCTCATACAACAATTTTCTGATTTTAACGACACCTTTAACATTTTTTTTTTTACAATCAAAGATAAAACAAATAAGAGATTAACCTAGTTTTTTAACTTCATGAAATTATTATTATTTTTTAAAATGACTGCAACATAACAGGGATCTTTTTTGTTATTTCCATAACCAATTATGTTAAAATGAATGTGACAGTTACTTACGTTTCAATGTCTTATAACACGCTTATGAATGTTTAATTACTTGAAGTAAGGTCATTTTCCTGACATTCCAATAATTCCAATTCAATACCTTTCCCACAAAGAATCGAAAGATATACACCCAAAATCCACTTCCGTAATGTTACACATAATTTTTTTTATTTTATTTTTATCAGAACCTGAACCAGGCTATTATTGTTTTTAATTTCTTGATTTTATTCTACCTTTCAAGATTTTATCAGTTAAATTTCGACCTTCTCAAGGGTGCGGCTTCTTTTTATTCTATTTTTTATTCTACTTCTTTTTTCCAAACAGGTAGTTCACCAAACTTATTGAAAGTGACCTTGTATCTTTCATATATATATACGCTGAAGTGTGAACAGACAGTATTGAAGAATTATAAATATTCTCTACAAGTTTCAACATGATATCTAAGGTAAATAATGCTTATTCTTGTTTTAAAATTTGATTAAATATTAAACTGACTATTTTTTTATTTACTCGTTTTTAAAATTATTTAATGCTGGGAATTAACTTGATTCAATCAGTATTAACGAATAGAAATCGAATTAGATTAAAAGTTGCTTCAATTTTTTTTTAGATTTTAAGGAAGTTTGAAATTTGTGTTTTAAATGCTAGCCTAAAAACTTTAGCTGTATTAGTTAAATATTTCTTGCGAAATGCTAAATTCAAACTGTTATAAGAAGAATTATTTCAAAAATTAGCACATTACCTCTGCTAACTGCATGTTCATATAATAGATTTAACATGAACTATGAAAATAGTTTTTTTTAACCAACTCTAAATTTAAAATTTTTAGGTATTATTCAGGAACATAAAGGTATTATAATGAAAATAAAAGTATTATAGAGATATACTTATTCCTATTAATAAAAGCATAGTGTTACATAGAATTATGTAAAACAGATAGTTTTAAAACATTTATCCTTCCTAAATACATAGTTTATAATTAATTGCCTATAATAAATGTAATATCCTATGCAAATTTTGTTCTAAGTATAATTATTTATATGAAAAAGGTGAAATCATGAAAAAGAGGACAAATTTAAGAGATATTTCTAGAATGCTTTAAAATCTAAATAAGTTTCACATTTTAATCACAAAAATTATATGAAGTAAAGAATTCTGACAAAATTAGCGTAAGGATATTTTGGTAAAATGAAATCTTAATTCTTGGTAATATATCCGAAATATATTATATTTAAAATAATCACTTGATAATTTTGCTATTTCCATGGTGTAGGTTTATAGAACTTTCTAGTCTGTTAAATAATAGTTCTTATCGCCATTAATTCGTTATTCATTCAGTGAAAAATACAAATAGTTAACCGAAAAGTAAATTTAATTTAAAAAAGGTTTTTATGTCATGCTCTAAGGTATCATGATAAAATTACAAAATTTCATAACATCCAAATTTCATATAAAACCATTTTATATATTGCTAATTTTACCAAAATTATTCCCTCGGTAGAAGTTACCGAGATTTTTGATGTTCTCACACAGCCAGAAACAAGGTATATTTTACCATATTCTTGTAGTTTTTACTATACTTTTTTTTCAGCGTAGTTTATAAATTTAAGGCATAATAATTAAATATTTTTAATGTTAGATTGAAAGATTGTTAGATTGAAACTGGCATAAAAAAGGAGGGTACAAATTAATGTGTATAAGTTAAACAAATTATTAAAATTAATATGAACAATTGAACATTAAAATAGCAGAAAGCAGTGCTTTAACCACGGGTTACAATCAACGAATATTATTTTGTTTAACAAATTAATGTTTTTTTTTATGACATGGATGACATTCGGATTTTATAAATAAAATATTTTTATTCAAATTATTCATAAGTGGAACTTGAAATCACAAAGAGGCAAGTAACTTTGAAAGATACTTCAGTAATAATTTAAAATTTGTGTCACATTTAAATCCCAAATGTCATAATTTAAACTTTACGAACAATAACTAAATACTTTTAAATTGAGATAATGAATTGAATGGTACTACATTATATAAATTACTAGAAACTACATCACATAAATTATTAACAATATATATTATATAACCCTTGGAATTAAGGTATCTTTTTTGCACATCTATAAAAATAACATCTATTCTTAACTAAGACCAAGGAGTTGTATGATTTTATATATAGTATTTACGGATTAAAATTTAAATTTAAATCTATATCGGAGGAATTTTTTTCTGAAAGAATATAGATAGTTTTTTTTCTCAATATCATGTATTTGTACGTTATTCTTTCGTTTACAAAGTTTTTAACGTGAATAGACTTGATTCTAGTCGAAAATTTATGTTTTCGTTGAAAGTAGGATAATAAAAATTTTTTTTTTGATCTAATGATCGGATCTTCACGTTTCAGAGCTCATTCTTAACGGTTCGAAGTAGTGACCTCAAATATGCTAATTTACTAGTGCAGACAATATTTTAAGTTACGAAATCAGACAAATAAACGTACTTTTTCTGAATACACAATTTTAAAAGAAACGTGCAAATACTCATTTTAATTTAATAAAGTTCTTTTAAAAATTTCTATAGATTCACAAACATTAGAAACGTTAAATAATTTTATAATTAGTTCTTGTAAGTAAAATATAAAAGAGTGAAACTATTTATTTAGGTATCCATCATTTTCGCTGTCTTTGCCGCAGCTAATGCCAGCGTTCTCCTCGCTGGACATGGACATCTAGTCAATACTGGCATCAGTGCAAGAAATCAAGTTCAAGATGTAAGAATACATTTACTGTTTCTGATCTAATTCTTTTGAAACAAAAATATCTTTATCAGAGTCTAACATATGAATTACAATACATTAGGGCCATGGCAACTATGCATTTGCATACGACATCAAAGATGGCAAAGGAGCCACCAACTCCAGATCTGAAGTAGGAGATGCTCATGGAAACAAGAAGGGATCATACACTCTCGCTGACATCGATGGACGAGCAAGAAAGGTTGAATACGTTGCTGATGGACATGGATTCAGAGCTGTTGTCAAGACCAACGAACCAGGTACCGCTCACAGTGCACCAGCAGCTGCCGTCATAGCTAGTCCATACGCAGCTCCTGCCGATATCGCCCACGCAGCACCTGCCGTAGTTGGACATGCTGCTGTCGTCGCTCCTGCTCATGGTCTTGGATATGGTGCTGGTCTTGGACATGGAGCAAGTCTTGGATATGGTGCTGGTCTTGGATATGGTGCAGGTCTTGGATATGGTGCAGGTCTTGGACATGAAGCAGGTCTTGGATATGGTGCAGGTCTTGGACACGGAGTTGCTCTGGGACATGGAGTTGGTCTCGGATATGGAGTAGGTCTCGGACATGGAGTTGGTCTTGGACATGGAGCCGGTCTTGGATATGGTGTTGGTCTTGGGCATGGTGCTCTTTTAGGACATGGAGCACATTATTAAAAACTTATCTTAGAATTTTAAAGGTTGGTTGTAAATTAGTTCACTTTATTTGAACCATTTTTATCAGAAGTTTTAATTAAAAAAGAAATTTATGAAATGATTGCATGAAATTTATATAAAAAAAACAAATTTGCATGCACTAACAAGCAATGCATAACTAAAAAGGCATCGATGCATGCATTCTAATCATTTAATTTATTTAATTACTATGCTTTACCGTAATATTACATATAAGAGAGTTTAAAGACTAATGTATTTTTTAAATAATTTTTCATTCATAAAACTTTTTAGTTTCGCTTATATTTTAACAAATAATTGTCCCACTGTGATCTTCTTTATTTTAATGCTATTTTTATCGCATATTGTTTTAGGCCCACGATTGCTACATCTTGGAAGACATAATTTTTATATAATATTCTAATGACAAATTTTAATGCTATAGTTATCGCTTTAGTTGCGAAGAACCGGAAATTGAACGCGATTTGCCACACATGTTTGTGTTAGTTTTTTTTTTATTTTATTATTATAAACTTATCTGTGCTGTAAAATATTTTCTTTCGAAATACTTGCTTTAGACTTAAATGAAAAACTTCATGATTACTATGGTAGATAAGGGTAAGTTTAATAAGACCTGGTAGGAAGATAAAATAAGGATCTGATGCTTTTGACTATTATCAATTTAGAAAACACACAAAACTAGGTGAAGACATTCTCCATGCTATTTTTATTTGAAGATGAATAACTGTGTAGTTTTAAAAAAAAATTTCTATTGACGCCAGTTTGTGGAAAATTTAATTGGCGGAAAATATTTTGGTAAAATTACTGTAATGCGTAGTGTTGACTTAATTTCTAGTTAACATAATTCTGGTTATTAAAACCTAACTATACGGCAAACCATTTATGAGCTAATTTTTCCGTTTGGTGGTAACAGTTTACCCGAAATTCTAGTTTTTGAAATCATAGCTCTTATTACCAAGCATTTTATGAAAAATACAAAACTGAAAAATAAATTTAACCGAGTAAAATAGCAAATTTTAACATATTCTGGTAGTTCTGACGATACTTTTTTTCTCAGTGTAGCATCACCGGGAAGCTATAAAAAACTTTCCTTTATACTCCATTCAAAATCTCTAGAAAATTTTATACATTGCTTCATATGTCGAGTATAGATATATGAAATCTGTAGCACAGCAGTTGAACAAAATCCATGTTTTATTTGTGATTTCTGATCTCAAATCTGATCGACCATATTAATTTGAGATAAGTTATAAATATATTTCATTCAAAATTACTGATGTTTTACAATTTTTAAACTCCTTTAACTTTCTCAGTTGAAGAGGGTTATTATGTTAATTTAGTTCATTTAGGAGAAAACATATAGTTTTCTTTATTTCTACATATTCACGGTTTTCTCGAATCAGGTTGGTACTGGCGTACCACCAATAACATTGAATTCTTAAGTACTATAATTTGATTTGAATCCTTAGTTATTACTACTCGTAATTTGGTAAATATGTTAATATAGTTCTCCTTTATTTGTTTTCGGAAAAATTTTAAATCACTTAAAATTTTGTGCTATATACATTTTTACAGATTACAATGGAATAGGAGAATTATATTAAAACCGATTACGAGTTGTAATAAATGTTTTGCATCATAATTAATTTGTCTATGCTCATTTACCTTTGAAAACTAAAAGATATTGCTTTATTTATAAAATCATTGCAATTTAGTTTATTTTTTCTTTTCATTTCCCATTTTAATAGGTCACCATGATAAAGCAGAAAAAATGAGAACACATTTCCAACAAATGAAGCCAAACTTCTGTTTCAAAATTATTACTCCATTCTATATTCTGCTAAATGGACTCTATTATAATTAATTTCTGATCACATCCAACCTGCATAATTTTGTCAACATATTTGTTACATTATTGTATTTTGTAAATAAATTATTTATTACTTATTTTTACCAATTTAGGAATCATTTTTTATTGCCTACACAAACGCAAACTGATTATTGAAAAATTAAGCGTCACCGATATTTCTCAATTTTTTTATTGTTTTAGATCAAGTAATAATAATAAATTAATAATAATAATAAAATAATAATGATAAATTAATAATAATAAATTAATTTATAATAATTTAATAATAATTATTATCCAATAATAATTAATTCAAAGAAGAGAAACTTGTCATTTGTTTAAGAATTTTATGAAAATGTTAAAAATCGTGGAAACATCAGACGGTTATGATATAGAGTTAAAAGTTTAAGGGGTTGAGCGACTATTTTTTGGAACATATTTAGAACCCAAAATATAGTTCATTTCTTCTAATTTTTCACATTAAATTGGCTGGACTTGAAATTAATATTAACTGTTGTAAATTTCTTATATTTTGTAAATTTTGTAGAAAAAAATTAAATTAGTTTTTTTTTGTTTTTGTTTCTGTAGTTACTTGCTTACACACATGATATCTTAAAAGTGTATTAACGTTTTGCTTACGGCTGGTATAACTCGTTAACCAAAATGGCGGGCTTTATCATATCAAGCGCCGTAAGCAAAATTTTAATATAGTCTGCTAAACTTAAAATTTATCCATTTGAAACTTATTACGAGATTTAATGATTTTTAAATTTGTTTTTTTAACCTATAATATTTCACCTAAAATTCGCATAGGAACAGAAGACTAAAATTTATCAAATATTTAAATTTTTCAGTAGAAAATAAAGTATCGTTTGTCTAAATTGTGGAACGAAAAATTATGAGTAAAAAGATTTATTTCCCTCATTTAAGTAGCTTAGTTGAACTTTTCACTCAATCATAAAAATATAGTTTTGAAAAATAATTAATGAAAATTTAAATTTCAAAAAAAGAACAACTAATTAGAATTTTAAATATTTCATTTATCGGTTGAAGCTGTGTCTTTTTAAAGTGGAAAAAATCAAAAGATTTGAGTAATGTTTTATATTTTAAATTATGCGTTGAAAGGCAGCTAATCTTTCTTAATAAAAAGTGACATTTTTGAAAACGTTCGTCGCCCTTAAAAGTGTCAACATTGATACAGAGACGTTATAAAATGGATCCAAGTGATATCACGCAAGCCATTTGTCCCTTAAATGTCAGTTCTATACCAATCTTATCTCAAAAGAAAACCCTTTAAATGTCACGAACTTGTGCGTTAAGGAGAAGAACATATTGTGTTGTCAAAATATTTTCGAAACAGAAACGAAACAGTAGGTTAAAGAGTGGTATGTGCCAAAAATTATATAGTACAACATGATGCCATCAGCGTTTTCAAGAATCTTGCTGATAATCGACTTGGAATTACAGAGCAATAGCAAAATGATGAGTAAAACTGAGCAACAAGGGGTGCCAAAACGTGGTAGATATTCATCAGTGAAGAAGAACTGAAACAATGGAATCATGAAATGCTGTACAAACAATCATAACCCCTTCTTTACTTTAACTTATTGCTGAAAAGAGGAAACTGTACAGTAATCACCACATCAAAACCGTTCCAGAGATTTTTCAGGCTTTATATCTAGTCCTATAAAAGATCAATAGGAAGGAAGTTGCAGAAAGTGAACGGGTTGCATAAGACACTGATGGCTATACATTGAATGAATTGACTACATTGAATGATTTGACTGCATTGAATTAACGAGTTGCATATGATACTGATGACTTCATTAAATAAATTGTCTACTTTTAATGAACGGGTTGCGTATGATACTGATATCAATATTGAATGAATTGACTGGAGCTGTGTGAACGGGTTGCATATGATACTGATGACTACTGAAATTTATAAGATACTGATGACTACTGAAATTTATAACGCCTATCTCTTTTGTAAAGTAAGTAAACCCTCCAAGAGTTCCAGTCATCGTACTACTGAAATTTATAACACCTATCTCTTTTGTAAAGTAATGGCGTAAACCCTCCAAGTAACCCTCCAAGTAAACCCTCCAAGAGTTCCAGTCATCGTACATAGGCACTTCCCTGGTTTCTCAGTGCTTTTCATAAGAAATTATAAACACGAAGCATATCGATATTTGGCCCTAAGCCACTTAGAACAGCTTGGACACGTTTCAATCATATCAAAAAAAAACAAGGTCATTATCTTTTAAAACATGGATGAAAAAGAGAATTTATAAGAGGCTATATTAAGTCATATAGATTTATAATAATAAAAATATTTATTTCATTCATTTCATTTGTAATTTAATACTGAAAGGATATGTTATATGATCAAATAAGAAGATTACAAACAAATATATAAAGAGATTCTATTAAAAAAAGACCTTTCCAAGACTATCTACTAAATACATGTTTTTAAAAAAATGCAAAAGATATTCTTATGGGTTAAATTTAAAGAGGAATTTATAAAACACTAAAACACAGTTAGAATTGCCTGAACACTCAAATGCACTTACTATTTATTATTTAAACTTTAGAGACACTTTTTTCTGAAATGTTTTTTTTTTTATAAAATTTGTTGAATACACACAAAGCAATTGAAAGTCTCAAACTGGTAGATAAACGAAATTCCTGAAAACCACTTAAGTTTTACTTAAAATACAATCCAGCTGGTATATTGAATCGATCATATGTTTATCATTTTAAATTATTATTGAGATCAATGCCATTAGAAGCTGGAATCGTTTATGCTGGCGCCAAAAATAAGAAATAATGTGTAATCTAGATAAGCTAATCCAACAGTGCGGTCTGGTATGAAAAATCTGGTATTAAAACATGTAAAGAAGGAGACCAATGACAACTGCCCTACGAGATTGTGGGTCCCGTATTAACTTAAAAAGACAAACCATCCAAACGAAAAAAAAAAATATATATATATATATATATACAGTGAATTCGCGATAACTCGAATCTGATAGGACTGACGAAAAACTTCGACATATCGGAAGTTCGACTTACCGTTAGTTTCGGTTTTGGACTTTCAAAATATTGTCGGATTATTTAATTAATGCTTATTAATTACAAATCTTCTAAATGCTTACAATATTTAAGATCATTTTTCTGACAAGCCATTTACGATAAGACTGTTTGAAGCACTTTATGATACCCTGGTCCATCGGCTGCAACTTTGCTGTTGTGTTTGGCGGGAGAAACTGCAAGTTTACTGCTTTCAAATTAGGTAGATCACTATGCGCTGTGCATTTATCCATAAAGAGTATCACTTTTCTTTTTTTAGCGAAGAATTTCCGATCCAATTTTCTTACATAGTCTTCAAATAAAACTGATGTCATCCAAAACTTTTTGTTAGACTTGTAATCCAAAGGATACGTTTTTACATTCTTGAAACATCGGGGATTTCGGTATTTTCCGATAACAAGTAAGGGCAATTTCTCTGTCCCAGACGCATTTCCTCCAACTAGGACAGTCAAACGTTCCTTGCTCATTTTACCCCCTGAGCAGTTTTCATCCTTAAACATCATAGTCTTATTTGGAAGACATTTAAAAAATAAACCCATTTCATCAATATTGAAAACATCATTTTAACTGTATCCTTGAAGTAAATTTGGTAACGTTTCATTTAACCACTGTTCACATACTTCAAGAGGGACAGCTTTAGCTTCTCCATGAAGAGTGCGAAAGACATTGTGTGTGTGTTGCAAAGGAAGGGGCAAGATATCAGCTCCTAGGTTTTTTTTCTTGCTTTAAAAGATCCAAAAAAAATCGAGTTAAAGGGAGTAAAATTCGAGTAATCGAGAATAATTAACATGAAATTGAAGATAAAAGGGTCGGGACCTCATAAAAAAATCGAGTTATAGTAATATTCGAGTTATCGTACTTCGAGTTATAGCGAATTGACTGTATATATATATATATATCAGGTTTTATCCTACACGGCAGCAAAAAAAGCCTCATTACTACTCCCCGAATGGCAACGCTAGAAAATCGACCAATGATTGCCGCTAAAAATGGCACATGCCAAGTCTAGCTGAGGTGGCTCAACATATAGCGCTTTTAAAACACGGAAACTGAAATAACCTTAAGCTAGGCAGAAGTGAGTAGTCTTTGTCGATAGATCTCTATTTTAGTATTTTGTCGAAAGCGCTTTTTTTCACGAATTTATATGTTACGAATTTGAAGATTTTTGATTTATATCACGAATTTATTTGTTTTATTATTGTTATTAGTTATTCATTGAAAAATGAGTTTCAGTCGTGCTGTTACGCTTTAAGATTTTGTACTATAGCACATTTCTAATAGGTTTAATGAATTACATGTCATTTATTTGAATTCAAATTTATTTTAATGACTTAGTATTTACTGAAAAGATGTAATTTTTTTTTTTAAAAAAAGTAGTTATATGGAATTGAATGATTGTTTTGAATTCTCAGAATTTTGTGCAGTTCTAATGTACCTATGTTAGTAGCTAGCGAAGCGAGCTTGGTTTGCGAAGGAAACCATATAAGATTGCGTAGCAATTTTCGGGGGTTGGCGAGCGTTAGCGAGCAGGGGGCGCCGCCCACTAGTGGAATTTAATTTAAATTAAACTCACGCGAAACGAAATTCAAATATTTAATTCCGGCAAAAATTTATCTAATAACTCTAGGTGCCTAAAAGCAAAATGATATGAATAAAAACAATGGATTTATGACAGTACTCATATTTAATTAGATTTTTAACTTCAAGCTACAAGAGTGAATCTACGCTGAAATTAAAGTTTAATTTTATTAAAAGCATTATTATTTTAACTCATCTATACTTCTGTAATATGGTATTATACAAGAGCGTATTATGAAAATTTTTATGGTAGCAATTACTTAATTTTTATTATTTTATTTAAATATAGAGAATAATTTGGGATTTGATTATCCATTTCAAGCATTGAAGTGCACAGAGCGCAAAAAAACCGAGAATCATCTTGATAACTTTTGATTGAATTTTAATGGGTTAAGATATAGTCGTAATAATTTATAATAGTAACGCAAAATTTCCTAATTTGTACTGACGACATTTCAAATTACAAAATCAGACAAAACAGAATAAAACAAAACATGCCTTTTTCATATGAACAAGGTTTTCTCGATACGGATTTGGATTCTTGACCCTAAAAATATGGAGAGTAGCCACAATCCGCCAATTATGGGCCTAATAGTTTAGTAAGGAAAAAGGTCGAGCCTCTTTGTGTTAATTTCTTAACATTTTTACACACTTATGTGCTCAAAACTCCGACATCTACAATGTTAAGAAATAACCCAAAAAATTGAGTCGGCTGTTCAACGACGGTTATAAAATTTTAAAAATTGTTTACATTTTGTGGTTGTTAAATCAGAGATATTTTAATGATAATTTTTCTTTACAAATTTGTTTACTGCCATTTGAATATTTTTGGTGGAACTTTTAGTGCCCTGGTATTTGGTTCTTGTAATATATGAAATAAAATAAATGAGCAGCAATAAAATAAAATTAAGAGTATTCTGTAATCATATTAAACTTTTGAAACAGTTTTCACAAAACACTCTTAACCTAATTATGTATAGTTGTGCAATAAAGGGCAAATACATAATGACACCTTTTACCAATTAAAACATTTTCAATATTCAATAAAATATCAGTTACCTTTAATTTTGTGTTATATGAAAACATACCTTAATCATTTTTGTTCCAGTAAGGTCAGTTTCCTCACATTTAATTAATCACATTAAAATAACTTCCTCGTAGGGAACGGATAGGCATGTTTTCCAGAAACATGTGTTTTCCTGCCTAGGCGTATAATTTGCATTTTAATTTCATTAAAATTTGAATCAGGTGATAGGTGTTTTTAATTAATACGATTTGAGACTTTATCATTCAGATATTTCAAGGATTAAAACTTCAAACTTTTTGCTCTACATAATTTTTTCTTGCTATTTTTTAAAAACAAGTAAATCACAAAAATAATTGGAAATAGCCTTGTGGCATTTGTATAAATACGCCTAGGTTTTAATTAATGGTAATAAGTCAGATTCAAGATGATCTCTAAGGTATGTATAGGCTCATGAAGTATCTATTTGAATGTTTTTACAATTCCTTGAATGATAATACTTAGCTTAATTTAAAAAAAAGTGTGTTTTTTGAACTTTTAAAACAATTACAATATTGCTAATTATGTCTTTCTTTTAAATAAATGAAATGTGAACAATATATTTTTGATTTTAAGGAAGCATTAAAATACTAACTTAAGTTAGAATGCTATTTTATTAATTTTTCAAATAATTGTTGTTTAAAATATTAACATTTAGTTTGAGAAGCAATTAATGTAATTAATTTTTAAATTTTGATTAAGATTTAGAAGAATTAGGAATTAAGATTTAAGATTTTTTTTAAAATTTTGTTTGATAAGATTCATATAAACAACTTATAGGCTAATTGATCATCATATAAAGAAGACTGAAAAAGTGTGTAAAATGCTTTAAAAAGTATACTACTGAAAACTACCATTAAGAACTCAGAATATTTATACTACTAGAAAAAAAATAATTAACAGTTTATGTGGGAAAAGCTCGTTTACAGAAATGCAATTAACTTTCTGACACATTAATTATATCTTAATAGGGTATTTTTCTGTTACCCTTTGTAGAGTCAATTCTTTTGAGAGTAAAAAATGACCGTTGACCAAAAATAAATAAAATTAAATTAAATTAAATTATTTAAATAAAAAGTTGAACTTACTTGTGCTTGGTTAACGGATAATTACCCCAAACAATACACAAATAATTAAATTGAGCTGTAAATCTATGAAAATAATTGCTACTATCAAGAACAAATTTATTACTGGAGTTGTAGAAATTAAACAGTGTATATGCTCTCTTTGTTAAGAATAGTCTGGATTTGAATCATATCCATAAAAATTTTTATACATTTTAATACTCGCACTTAGCTATTAACATCTATGTTTGTTTTTTTCCTTCATAGCTAATCATTGATGCTCATATAATTTTAAATAATTTCCAAAAGTATTTTTTTAATAATTACGCCTCATGAGATTAGTGACCGGAACACAGTACTAATTTCTATGTGTGGGAGTTATTTTTTATTAAATCCTATTTGCTACACTATCCTACAATAATGGAAGAGATTTCGGTTTTTGACTTTTTTTTTAAATTTCTGAAGAAATACTTAAGAGGATTATTTTGTACTAGGAGGCTTCGCCCCCTGCTCGCTAACGCTCACCAATGCATCATAGCAATAATGAAAGTAGAAGTAAAGTTAGTACTGTAAAATTAAAGCAATATTTTTAATCAATGAGCCAAGTTCTTCAAGAAGCAGTTGTAGAAGTAGGTTGTTTATTTAAAACTTTTTATAGAATTTCTTTAAGAACACAATTGTTAATTTGGGCATTTGG